TTTGTTCTTTTTACAGTGGGCACTCTTCTTTGTCCCACGGGAAGTGCAAGTGTGAGTGACAAGGTGCTAAAAGTAATGGCTGCACAGAAAATAACTGGAAAAAATTTGACTGGGCTTCCTTTGTGCTTGACAGCTCAGTGAGGAAATTAAACGGTACAATAGGAGCAGTAAGGAAGGACAGACCGAGAGTGCCAGAGTCGTCGGAGGGTGCATCTACTTTTTATTGGTACTTGCATATTTCCTTACAAAATATGCCCTGTTGGATATGCTTTGAACATTAAACTGTTGATGTATTATGTAATTTGATTTTTGAGTCATATTTTTTTTTTCTCTGCAGTTGCACTTCCTGCAAAGGTTCCCTCTACAGGGAGGTGAACCAAAAGACAAAGACGTCGTCAGACATTGGGATGATAAGGCTGTGAAGAGGAGAATTGATGCGGAAAAGGAGAGTCGACATGGCATTTTCTACAGTCCACCCGCTGCTGAAGTGAATGAGTCAACACAACCGGGGAGCAGTACAAGTTTCCATCATCCGGTGAGTAATACCAATGTGATAATGTCTGTTGGTGAGACTTAATATCTGTTTGATGACATACATTTACAATGTGCAGGACATTAAGGAGTTTTGGCTCAATTTCAACAACACATTGAACAATGAGATGACCAAGATTCAAAACTTAGTTTGTAATGAATTAGTTAAGCTGGAAAATAAACTTCTTAACCAGGGAGGCAATGAAGAATAAGGAAAAGAACACCACACTGAGGAGGATGAAAATGAGTGGCCACAACATGATGAAGTTATGACTGTAGAGAGCGGAGAAACACATGAAAGTGGTGACAAATTGCATGATGATGAACAGCAAGAAGAAGAAGAAGAAGAAGAGGAGGAAGATGAAGACGAGAACGACAATGTGAGAGAAGATGAAGCTGCAGATAAGGATACTGAAGATGAACAGGCAGCTCAAACGGAAGAAGGGAAAATGGTGGGCAAAGCAGTGCAGCTACCCACAAGGAGGTCAAGTAGACGTAAAGTCCCAGTAGTTAAATCTCCTTACATGTCTACTTATGGCAGAAAGGTGAAAATGAGTGACAGGGATGCATTTTATACTGTGTGTACTGAGTGGTGTCAACCAGATGAGGCTCAAGAGTAAGTATAGTCAGTTATTATGGAAAAGACAGCCTGTGAATAATACTACTATGCAACACTGACTACTTATTTTCACTTTCATATTTGTTGTAGGGTCATGGTAGATATGTTTGGGCATTTGGCAACACGATCAGACCTACAAGCACTGGGTCCCAGAAGGTGGATAAGCAACAGGGTACGTGCACCTATTCAAGTTACATCAAAGTGGCCATATATGGAATGTGCCACAATTTTAATTTAATTTTCCTGCTCCTTTATTCTACAGATCATGACTCTGATTGCCCACACCTTGAACGCTGACCAACATGAGAGTGCCTCTGCGGTTAAAAGACACATATTTGATGCAGATTTCACGGTTAGTGCTATCCCCTGTTAATGGATCAATGCTTTAAATTGTGCAATAAAGTTATCGATACAGTTTCTTCACTGACAATTTGCATTGCTGTGCAATTTGCTGTTGTGATAGGCAAGGATGGTGCAGCAACACACAGCATGGCAAGTGGACAAACACCTGAAAGAACTACTTCCCCAACACGTGGGATACAATTTGGCTGAATGTGAATACATATTTGCACCTGTTGTGTTTGCACTGCATTGGTTTTGCTTTGTGTTTGAACCGAGCACACTAAAGTTTTATGTGCTGGACTCTCTGCGTGGTGGTGAGGATACAATGAAGCACCAAAAGAAGAAGAATAAGTCTGATCCAGCATTAAAGGGGCAGCAAATCATGGCGCAAACTTTTGTAAGTGGTGTAATTATTCTGCTACTTTTGTGTTGGACAACCATAGTATCCCCTGTGTGATAATCATCTGTAATTGTGTAGAGGGCACACTTCATTGAAATACTAAGGAGAGTGAAGCCTGAGCTGGAGGGGTTGGCCAACCCAGATTCAAACAATGACATCTTGTATCCCACGGTTCATGTTCAAGACAATACGTGAGTCTTTTGTTCACTGAAAGTTATTTGTCATAAATTATAATCGACATACATAAGCCAGCATAGTGATGTGTTCATTTTTTCAGTGATGATTGTGGGGTTCATGTCATCACATATCTAAGAGAGTGGCCCAACCCACAAGAGAAGGATGGAGTTCTATTCACCATGCCTTATTATACAGCAGTAGGTGTTGAATTATATATTAATGACATCATGCATTTGTGTCAACTTACTGAGAACAGTTGTTGTTGTCCCATAGGATCAATACACATCTATACGGTGTGAGCTATTGTGGTGGCTCGTGACGCATCAAAGAAACATCAAGTCAGATGCTGTTACCAAACACCTTGACCACATTAACAGACAACGCAAGAGAAAGCGATGACTGATCAAATTCCTACCTTGTAGTTTTTGCTGATAAGCACTGTAATTGTTGTTGTGAACACTTTATGCGGACTAAAATGTTGTGCATACAAACGATGTTAATGAAGACTGTTTTGATGGATTCATATTATCACTACTTGTTTACTTTCATTAGATGTACGGTTAACAACAAAAATTAGGGAATTTGCACCAAAAAAACAGGAATTAACACCAAATGTTCGTCCATTTCCAACTGAACAACCTACATCAGGGATTAGACCTTTGCACGAACGATTAGACAATTTGCAAGAGAGACAAATAAGTTAACAACAGCAATTAGAGCATTCACAAGTGTCGTTCATCTGCTGAACAACATGTCCTCTTAAATATGCAAGTGCCCTCCTTCACCTGAATAAGGTGTCCATTTCTATGAGGAACTAGGGAATTTGCTACTCCGATACATATATTCACAACTGTAATCAGTCCATTTACATGTGCCGTCCTTAACCTGAACAGGGTGCGTATTTGCAAGGGGAACTAGCCAATTTGCACAACACATACCGATATTCACACGTGGAATCAGTCCGTTCACATGTCGACTGGTCCAGCTGAAGCATGTGTCCGTGAGGGAACAAGTGCGGGAGAGCGCATTTGCAAGGGGAACTAGCCGATTTGCACAACAAATACCTATATTCACACGTGGAATCAGTCCGTTCACATGTCGACTAGACCAGCTGAAGCATGTGTCCGTGAGGGAACAAGTGCGGGAGAGCGCATTTGCAAGGGGAACTAGCCTATTTTTAAAATACATACCTATATTCACACGTGGAATCCGTCCGTTCATATTGGCAAGGGGGACTAGCTAATTTGCAAGACACATACTTGGCTTCACATGTGGACTGATTCACCTGATGCATGCGTCTTACTTAAGTGTGGGACAGCCCATTTACAAGTGGGACTAGACAATTCACACCATACATGCATATTTTCACAACTATAAATAATCCATTTGCATCTGACCTACTCGTACTGAAGGAGGTGTCCGTGGGTGAACAGGTGTGCAAGGGCCCATTTGCAAATGAGATTAGACAATTTGCCACATACATACAAATATTTACAACTAAAAATAGTCCATTTGCATGCGGACTGATTCACCTGGAGAAGCTGTCCAAGTATGGTTTCGTATACCATTTGCAAGTGACATTAGACAATTGGCAACATACATATATATATATTCACAACTGTAATCAGTCCATTTACATATGATGACCTTCACCCGAAGAAGCTGTCCGTCAGTGGACAGGCAGGGGAATCTCCGTTTGCAAGTGAGATTAGACAATTTGCAACATACATACAAATATTTACAACTAAAAATAGTCCATTTGCATGCGGACTGATTCACCTGGAGAAGCTGTCCAAGTATGGTTTCGTATACCATTTGCAAGTGACATTAGACAATTGGCAACATACATATATATATTCACAACTGTAATCAGTCCATTTACATATGACGACCTTCACCCGAAGAAGCTGTCCGTCAGTGGACAGGCAGGGGAATCTCCGTTTGCAAGTGAGATTAGACAATTTGCAACATACATACAAATATTTACAACTAAAAATAGTCCATTTGCATGCGGACTGATTCACCTGGAGAAGCTGTCCAAGTATGGTTTCGTATACCATTTGCAAGTGACATTAGACAATTGGCAACATACATATATATATATTCACAACTGTAATCAGTCCATTTACATATGACGACCTTCACCCGAAGAAGCTGTCCGTCAGTGGACAGGCAGGGGAATCTTCGTTTTCAAGTGAGATTAGACAATTTGCAACATACATACAAATATTTACAACTAAAAATAGTCCATTCGCATGTGGACAGATTACAGCCTAACATATCCTGCGACAGCTATAGTCACCTACTGTCATGAAATTTTTCAACTATTGACACCACTATACAAAATATAATCGAACCCACCACCAAAAAATCAAAATGGGTTGTCATAGCTACTTCCCCAACAACTCAACAACTACATAGTGGGGCTCATTTATGTACAAAAGTAGCTGTGTGTTGAACCAAAAAAATAAAAGACCATTTTGAGCAACAAAGTCACCCAGGGTTCGGGTTAGTGCAAATCTTTCTAGTGTGACCAGCTTCACCACATCCTGAGCAATGATACGCTTTCTTCTGCTGGAATTGTGATTCAATCCTCCTACCTCTGGGTCTTCCAGCACGCCGAGTTGTCAATGGTGGTTGTAGGAAGATGGTGGACGAGTAATCTTCATATCGAAGGGAATCTGGCCTAGGGATGTCATGGGTCTCAACTGGAATCATGAGTCTGCCATAAATTTTCTTTTGGGCTGAGAGTAAAAAGCAATCCTCGACATATGCATATATATTACCATATACCTTCTTGATTGCAGCACTTGCATGCGGGCAAGGTAGTCCTGACATTTGCCAACCTTTGCAGGTGCATTCACGTAACACAAGATTTACCCGCACATCTAGGTTTCCCCATCTGACCCTGAAATTGTTCATTCCATAATTTTACACATCCATTCTTTCTGATCTGGCCACATGATCCATCAACTTTTCCTCTATATTAGGTCCCACACCATTGCTCCAATTCGTCATGGCTTCTTTGCTGTGGTACATCTTGTTTGCCAATTTTTCCCTGTGCTCATGTATCAAGACAGCTATGTTGTGCTTCCTCTCACCAACAAGCCAAGCATTAAAGGATTCGGCTAGATTTGTTGTGATATTGTCCCACCTCTTGTAAGGAAATTTGTTTTGTGCCCAACGCTCAATGTCTCCATTTGTTTGAAGCCATTGTCCTAATTCTGGACAAAATGCCATTAGCTTTTCCATACTGCAATCAAAGTCTCTATCAAGTCTTGCGTATGCAATACAATCAAGTAATTTTAGTGCAACTTCCTTTGTCTGTCCGCTGGTCCTCCTCTTTCCCCTGGTTATCTTCAAAAACTCAGCACTGTAATTCTCCTTCACATGACGGTAGCAAAAAGCATGTCGATCTCCTCCAAACACGGCTTGCACTGCACCTTTTATTGAGTTGTGTCTATCCGATACTATTGTCACTTCTAATGAGCCCGTAATATCCTTTATGTTACCAAGAAACCATGCCCAGTCATCAAGCGTCTCACCTCCAACAATCGCATATGCAAGTGGGAATAATTCATTATCCGCGTCATACGCTTGTGCTCCCAATAACGTTCCTTTGTACGGACCACTCAAGTGGCATCCATCCACATATAATACAGGTCTGCCACCTTTCAAAAACCCTTCTACACAGCAACCGTATGCAATAAATACAGCTTGAAATCTATTATCTGATGATGCAACCCACTTTGCTACCGTTTCTGGATCACTTTCCTTCAGCCTTTCACATATCCAAGGGATTAGCATATAAGACTCCTGCGGACAACCATGAATTTTTGCCAATGCTTTCTCTTTCGCCCTATATGCTTGTTGGTAGTTGAGCCTCAACCCATACTCTCTTTCCAAATCCCGTCTAATGTCATTTGGAGCTTTGTGCATGCAAGAAATCAACTCATCTATTATGACTGCTGAAGCAAGTTTGCACCTCTTTCTCTGAGGGACAACTAAGTTGTCTTGTGCATAATGCAAGTGTTCATAGTTAAATCTTCTCACAACTAGGAATCCATTATTCTCACCTACACCATATGCTGAAATTTCCCAGGGACAACCATCTACACAGCACTTCACAATCATCTTATGCCTATCATTCTTTACGTACCGGTAACCAAACTTGTGTGCAAGGCTATACTTATATAATGCCTCTCTAAAATGTTCAGCACTAACAAAGGTTTGCCCTCTTGACATCAACAAATCTGCCCACTTTGATGAATTCATCACCGTTATTGGGGTTGGCAACGTTTCCATACCTACACTTCCTATCAGTGTTGGCACATCTTATACGGAAGATATGTTTATGTTGTCTGTGTCTAGATCCAATTCCATTGCAGATACTGACATTCCACAAGGGCCAACCAAATCATCTAACCTGCATAAACAAATACAGCTATTCAGTATTACAGTTCAATTTATCAAAATTGGACATATTCTTTCTTATCCTACACACAATCTTAATAAAACCAGTTGAGAACAACTTACTCTTGTACACTGTCCAACTGTGACACTTGTGTGAAGTCTTTCTCATTCTCACAAACATAAACATGGCCACTACTATTGTTGTACTCAATTACTTGTCCAACACCAATATCGTCAACAAGATCCAAGAATGTATCCCGGTCAAAGCTAACTGTGTACTTCATTTTATATTCACGAGTCCTTGGCCACACATCATGAGCTACCATGCATTGTAGTTCTTCATATGTCATCCCTTCTCTAATCAATCTTCCAATAATGATGCCCCCTTCATAAATGAATTTCCCTTCTGAGGTCTTTACAAAGTGCCCTCTAACATGAAAGATGCAAAATACTTGTTTCCTACTACTGCTAGCCATTTATCCTCTGCTGCTGCACATCATTCAAGTATGACACAACGTACGTTTACATCAGCAATTTGACAATTGACAACAAGAATTAGTATTTTCACAACATTATATTGCTTTTTCTCGCACACAACCAGAATTACCAAATTTACCATCGTACTATGTATTTTCACCATTCCTCTGCGCGTCTACCTGTCATATAACCCATTCCAGGCCACACACCCATTTCCCTTTCTTTTTCGCCTACCTATGTTCCTTCAGCAGTGCATTATTCTCAATATGCACCCACTTTTCAAAACATCACAAACACCACATCTTTAACAACTTAAAACAGCATCAGCATGAATTTCTTAAACCATAAAACTGTAAGATTTGCAACTCACTCCCAACCTACATGCCCATGCACTTAAATACTCATTTCTTCCTCATTCACCCATCACAACCCACCTGTGCTAACCGAATCACACCAACAAAACCAAAATTTTAACAACAAAATCTTACCTCCCACACCAACCTGACGCTACTTCCAGAGAACACGCAACACTGTAGGGCACACTTGCGACTTCTCTCTCTTGCACCAACTCTAGCTTGGAGTCTGAAAGACGGCGGAGGGACGGACCGCAAAAGTGAAGCTCCGCCACTGCGTTTTCTCAGCTCATGGTTGTCAGCTATCTCCCTTCCGCACCGGCGCGCTGCATGGGAGAGGCAGGAAATAACGCCATCTCCTCCCTTTCCATCTTTCTTCCGTCTTTTACACCCGATGATAATATGTCTCATTTTCGGAGGAAATAAGTCTTCATTAGGGGCAGTGGCGTCATTTCGCTTGTGGAATTAATATCAGATTGGCCCCTTGGTCCTGCAGTGAGATTTCAGAATGTTTTGGGGGCTCTTTGAGATTATTTGTCTTCTGCGGTCCTACAGTGAAATTTCCCCTTAAAATTTAATATTCATAATGGTTGTGCATACTTGTGCATATTTATGCCAAGATAAATTATTTATCCACAAATAATGATATTATGAAAATTAAAGCCCATTTATCTCTACTCTAGGTAAATGACTAAATTTTCATACTCATAATGCTTGTTTCAAGCCATACATAAAATTTGATAAATAACAAAATTTGTGCCTCCGCTGACTTAACTTGTTTTTTTAAAATACAAGATGAGGCTTACACAATTTTGTTTAAAACATATTTTTCTCCAATAAATTTTTTTTATAAGGTACCTCATATCTTAGGCACCTCCACCGTTTAAATATCTCATTTATATAGAAAAATTTATTTTCGTACCTCATCAATAACAATTCTAATTAAATTAGAATCAAAAGAAAATATCATTCTGATTTCACAAAAATGTCACAAAATCTCCATAGTTAAAATATCCGCAACACAACTATATGACTATTTGTATGTCAATATGCAAATTGTACCATCCCCATAATTATAATCTCTTTTTAAATTAAATCAATGCATGCACTGAAACACGATTTTTTTTCAGGCCCATTTAAATATTTTGTATATTAGTCCAGTATCACTAAAACAACAATGCAAGTTTTGATGCCACCTCTGAAATAAATTAACCACAAAGGCACCAAAAGCGTATGAAGAATACCTTACGCAAACCGAATTAAATCATGACAAGACTTAAAATGCTTGCAATTGTAGCCGCTTCAAAATGACTCGTCACTTTTTCCCAAAAAAATAACTCATCACTTTTAAATACAAGGTAGACATCCTGTCATTGTCTATATAACCGAAATTCTTTCATGATGAAATACAGCAACATATCAAACAAATATTATTGTCTATATAGCCGCTTCTGGAATCCTTCCGCATCCACATCTCTGCAAATTCTTTACATAAATTGTCAGCAAACTTCATCATTGTGTTGTCCATGTTGGAAGAAGATTCCTTTAAAGCATCAGCGAGCACCTCTATAGCATAAAATTTTAAGCAACATTTTAGATGGGATAATATAATCTTAATATATAATATAAACACGTTACTATAATTTCAAACAAATCATATATATAAGCAAACATATAAATAAATTATTTAGTAAAAGCATGTTATGAATAGAAATCTAAAACCCAAAAAAATATAAAGAATAGGCACACACTAGTAGAAGATAATTACGAGCTTCATTTTTTTGTTGTAAAATTGTGATGATCATGAAATATAAAGAATAGATTAATATAAAAAATAGGTCCAAATTTTGTATTAGGAAAAATGCTAATGAAATTGGTGTTATATTGGATAAATATATTTAAAACATTTGATAAAGCTAGAGTTCTCATTTGAATTCATTCCATACATTTGTATAAAATATTAATCTTTTTTCTTGAAAAGTGCTTTTGAAAGAATGAGCTCCAACTTCTTGATAAGTATGTAGAATTACAATTTTGAAAGGAAAAAAAAAAACTGAGTTAATCTTTTCTTTCAAATAGAAAATATTAATTGAAAAGATTTGTTAAAAAATTTCATGTAAAGGAAAATTAAAGTTTCATATTTAATGGGTCCATTGGTATATTCAGTAAAGAAAAATATACTCTTCACATGCATCCAATTTATTTAATATTAGTTTATTATCTCCACAAACTAAAGAGGAATCTAGCGCATGAAACAGCAAAAAAAAAAAAAACCCCCACATGAATGAACCAAGGAATGATTAGGAATCTAGCGCATGAAACAGCAAAAAAAAAAAAAACCCACATGAATGAGCCAAGGAATGATTACCTTCCCAGCGAATGATGAGCAACAAATTTGGCATTAGCGGCAGTGAGAAAGACGACTGTCACAATGCGAATACAATGGACAGCAATTGATAAGGTTTATGAGTTTTTCATTAAGGGCAATCTGGTCAATTTTAAAAATTATAAGGGTAATAAAATATTTTCCACTTGATTATAAGAGGTCTGTATCCCCATTCATGAGTCTTAGCTATGTAATTCCCATGCCTCCACTTAAGGTAATTAGGATTACAATATGTAATTCCTTTTACATTACAAAAGCCCAACCAAACAATTGAATCAACCCATTACATTAGGATTACATGTAATGAACTTTCATGGAATTAAACCAAACGGACTGTTAATGTATCCATCAATCAAGAGCAATTGAACCTCCAAGACTCCAACGAAAAGGATTAAATTCACCAATGAATCATACTCATCAATATAAAGCAATAAACCTCCAGCATTAATAATATTTTAAGTGGGGAGGTTATGAAAATTAATATAATTTAATAATATCTTTTAAGATAACCATCAACTTTCAAAACTTCCAACCAGACAACCATGAAATCACGCCATGAACGCCAAAATGAACATTACTGAACATTTAGTATTTTTTTAAATAAATACTCTACTAAAACAAAATATCCTACTGGAAATACTTTACCGTTTATCTGTTTTTACATTCTATAATCATAATTTATAATAAATATATGAACTACTAAATTAAGGAAAAGTTGATATTGTTCCTTCAAAAATTAATGCACACTTAAAAACTCATAAAACTAATATTTCATCAAACCCATGAAACCAACGGCAAATTGATGATGAATAATGGGAGATAACATTAGTAACAATGAGGTTGCAAGCAACTAAATTCAATATATATTAACCAAGACAACAAAACCTCCACATAAAGGATAAGATATTCCACCGCCATTACCAAAGTCAATTATTGATATAAGCAACGTAACAAACAATATCCCTTAAAATACCTTGTGCACTAAGCACATTAAAGTTTCATCTGCCAATATCAAGTACCATTATATGCCACCAACACTCGTTTAAGACTCTAAATCGGGCATAAGCATACCTGGAGAGGACCAAGCCACACGAATGATATAAGAATAATCCCGTTCAGCAAGGATTTATCTCACCATAACCCCTATGAACATATAACGCATGCTCCATAATGCAGTTTCATTCATAAACCCCAGTGGATCCACTGCATCAGCATACGTTTTCATCGGGTTCACATCTACCACTGATCTAGGTGGTTGTGTCCGGATATGTGAGTTAGAACCCAATCCTCAAATATATCATCCCTGCCCTCTACAGTACCAGAGGTTTATAGCTTAGATAAGTCAAATCTGGATCTAGATATGACTCACTATATTATAACCGCTTTCCATCCGCACAAACCACATGAGCAGAAATTAGTGGTTTGAACTACTTTTGAAATACATTAACCACGCCTTGTCTCTAAAGGCAGTGAAAGAAATGCAATATATAAAAGAACAACTATCAAACCAATAATTAGGTGCTTCACAATCAAGAATCAGATTCAAATCATGAACCATAGCACATGATGATAATTAAAGATGAAGAAATTTACCTTCGGCTAATGTATGATACCGCCCAAGATCCTCACTTAAGCAGTGTTAGATCAACAACAATCGTGTGCAATGGAAATTGAAATAGCTCTGACCACGGGTACTAATGTGCTCAGCTATAGCAACCATTTCGAAGAGATAAAGCAAGTAATAACTCTTAAGATTATTGACAACACCTGCAAAATTAATAAAAACATGGTTCGAGTGGTGTCTAAGGACACTATTCTTAACAATTATTCCGCCATACAGGTTAGAGTAAGAGATGACGTTCCCCAGGATTAAACGAACCCTTCTTGCGTAAAACAAGGTAATAGAACAGCAGAAATTTAAAACTCATGAGAAAAGAGAGAGATAAGAGCTCGGGGATAGTATTCGATGCAGTCTGGCCATGCATCACACATTGCCTTTTATAGGCAAATGATATGTGATCATTGGGTTGCCATAATGGTGATTAAATGTGGTTTTAATGACAATTAAAAGGGTAGTTTTTAAATAATTAATTAAGGTGAATTAAAATATTTTAACACCATTGAATATGGTTTATGAAAAAATAACACTGACTAATCAAGACACATAAATGCTTCAATGGTCATCTCTAACAGCCGGTTCTAAAGACTCCTATTCTCATCCATTTTATTAGTTCAAGCTCATGTCTTAGTAAACACTAAGGTTTTTTCAATCAAGTAATATGAGATTCTTTTGATACACTCACACACTAAAACTCCACCACATATTACCGAGCAAAATGGAGTTCCCTAGTCCAGACTGCTCACCCAATCATAATATGTAAACACTAATTAAAAAAGACCTTGGTACCTATTAAAAAAAATAATTAATAATGTCTATGTATATACATATTACCCCATTATGTGTATTTTATTAAAAAAAGGCCTTGATACCACTAAATCATAATATGTAAACACTAATTAAAGCTGCTTTATTTTCTCTTGTATAAAAAAAAAATTACTAAACCATAATATAAACGCTAATATAAAAATTCTATGAAAATCACTCATCTACGTCGGCATTTAAGAAAAACAGCTAAATATTAGATTAAATTTGTGAAAGTAATAAAATATTAGTATAAAATTCTAGACAAAAACAACTAAATATTATACAAATTATATACTATAAATAAACCATGTTATTTAAGGTTAACAATTCCATAAAAATATCACCATTACCACTCACTCACACACACACATTGCAACTATTCTTCTTCTTTTTTTTCCCGTCCTGAGTCATAAAAAGGTACAGGCTCGTTGCTATTTTTTATATAAGTAATTTTTTAAAATTTAAATATTTTAGTTCAAATATAGAGCAAGAGAATTGTTTTATTAATTATGACAAATTATCAATAATTTAAAATTGTATTATAGAAATATTTTTGCAGTAATGATATTTTAACCTTTACTTATTATTTAAATAAAACATTTCAACGTTATTTCTTACCAATAATTTCAATAACTATTTAGCTTTATATTTTACTTTGTTATTTGAATTACTTCTAAATAGTTTTTAATAATTATTTATTAGTAGAAGTAAATTCTTGCAATTCTACACTTTTTTTCAGGAGACAAAATGATCATATAAAAACAAATATAATACGTCACAACGTTCTAAAGAGAACCATAACAAATAAAACTAGAAGGAGATTCAGCTTTAGTAAAGAATCTAAAGACATAGCGCAAACAACAAAGGAGAGAAGATCTTTAAGCAGAATTTGAACATCTTGAAGTATCACGTAAAGTTCTGCTCCAAGAAAAGCCCGAGCGATGCAAAGGCTATTAATGCACCAGATCTGAAGTGTTTCCTTGCGCACTAAGTCACTGCTGATATAACCACGACTCAATAAGAGAGAAGCGCTGAGGCATTAGCAGCAGCAGAACAAGGTATTTGCAGAGTCAATCTTTTTTCAGATGAATCGATGGATGAAAGCCCCTTGAAAGCAAATTGAGGCATGGAGGCTGATGCCTCATTTCCTTCCTTCCTTTTAGCTTATGAAAGATGATAATCCAACCCATTACATCAAAGATTCCATTGCTTGAGCAATCTGACTTGATTCTAACTTTGGGCAACTTAACCTCTTCGGCTCTTCCATATATTGATTCTAACTTTGGGCAACTTGATTCTTCCTTGTTTGATCTTACCCTTGACTTGCAATTCTACGTCAAACCTTACCACGTTACAAGTTTATCTTACCTTGATGAGTTTATTTAAAATCGCGAGGCAGAATCTTGCCTATGAAACGTTACCACGTCTGGTCTTGGTGTGTTTCTTAATTTTATTTTTTCAATTGTTTCACTCTATCTACATAATCAAAACGGACTGGTTTTCCACATTTTCATATACATTCAACATATTTTTGGTCTGCTCAATTATTTCTTCAAATTTACCACATCAATGATTTAATAATAAGATATTACTATGAAAAAGGCTTCCAAAGTTGACTTGGCAAGACTGGAAAGTACTGCCTTTATAAGAACTACTTAATTTAGATGAATTAAAAAAATTAGTTAAGTTAGTTATTTGTAACAAATATGAGTTGATTTTCCTAAAATATTTTTTTTTCATTCATGAGCATCTATGAATCAAAACCCTCTTATACTTCAGAAAATAAACTACAAGTAGATTGAGGCCTTAGCTAGCTTTTATATCTAAGGAGCGGACTCTTACATTGATTTATAGAAACACGAACTGAAACTTGATGAAGCAACACAGTGTTTACCAATTTTCAGTACAAAATTTACATTTGAACAAGAAAGTTGTGATGCTTAAACACGGAACCTGGGCAGACATCAGAGCACAGTATAACAATAGAAGTGAAGAAAATGATATTACTCCTCCGGTCCTAAATATAAGACCCCTTTCGTAGTGTAAATTACACTACGAAAATGATCTTATATTTAAGACCGGCGGAGTATAAAATAACGCACGTATTAGATCATAAGTAAATAATTGAGTTATAGTGCAAGCAAATATTTAAGACTTCAGACTACGGAATTTACATTAGTTGTGAACCATGTCAGAAGTTCTTCCTTGCTTTTCTTTTTTGGTAAAAGAAAAATAACAACGTAGAGGACCAAGAAATGAGTCGAGCTTTCCCTTGAGAGATGAGAGGGCAACCTTATTGTATTCAATTTACGACGACACAAAAGCTTGCCGAGTCCAAGTCAATCAAATCTAAAATGGGGATTTCATTCATATACAATGACAACTGAAACACCAACAAGAAAGCACATAAGAAGTGGGATGAAGTAAAAAAGAAATGGGGTATGCTTAGTTACAATTGGTGTTAGTCAAGAGATTTGAATCGTTTAATTGACAGTGTCAACTTGAAAAAAGATGGTTATGATGCGTACGAAGTAGGAACCATTTGAATGACGAGTCTGTCACTATCTTAAGAAATTGAGAGAATCTAAATCCCAAGTCATGTTAGTTAGTTACCTCCGGTATCTTCCAACAACCCCTTCTATCCTTTATGGCACACTTGACGTCCAGCCTTCCCATGGATGAAGTTATTTAATATGTATATAAAACCTCACCCAACTTTGCACCATATGCCCAGATGAGATGGTAATTGATTCATGCCGCAAAGAGAGATACCCAGCTTGAAAAACTACTGGATTATTGCAACAAAACCTCATCTTCCTCTTGCAACTGTTTGAGTCGCCTCTTAGCATAGACTGTGAAAAAGACTGCTGCACCCACAGTTAAACAGAAGCCAAAAACATTTAAGATAATTTGCAGGGCAGATAGGGTGTGCTTTTCATGGGAGGCATCAGCTAAAGTCTGTATGAAAATCCCCCTGCATCAAGTCAAGGAGACAATGAGTTCAAGAGAGTTTGATGCTCTGCATTATCAGTTCCCATCCTGTTAAGCATACATATGAACTGACTGACCAGAGATGTAACTTTAGATGAATTGCAAACATGGAGTTAAATGAAAAGCATCCATCAATACCAAAGTCATTACTGTCATGAGGTTAAAGAAATAGACCTCCATAAAACTAAATTATTAGGCGAGAGGAGCAGAAAAGGTGCACGGGAGTGATACAAGGTGCTAAAGTGAAACAAAAAAATAGATACATCTAAATTTGGAATAACATTTGAATAAATTTTGAAAAATAATAGTACATATAAATAATGAAATAAGAGTAACTATTTTACTTTATTCTCTTAAATCACTTGTCTTAATACACCTGATTGAATGCAGTGCCTCTCGTGATATGAAAGGCAATAGCCATGGAGAGCACCTCGCCTCAATGCATAAACTGCTGAGGCAAGCATCTATATTGGTGAGTGGAGAGATATACAACGATAACTAAGCATAGAAATGACAGTGAAGATGGCATTGCTCGTCAAGATGAGGAATCAATAAAGTGTTGGAGAAAACAATAGAAGAGGAAAGAAATCCATCATTGGATTGACAGAATGTATTGGTTACCAAGGAACAATCCCTTCCAAAACAAAAAGAAAAAAGAGCCTATGCTGCTTGGAGCTGGTGAAGACGAATTCTAACATATAATGGATAGGAAAAGGGGTACTTCTCAATTCTCAATCAATAAAGATGTGTTTACAACAGATAAAGGAAGAGGATAAAGGTAGTCGGCTAGACCCAATTGATCAGCTTCCTAATTAAGATCTAAATCAGAATAAAAACAATTGTGAACATGACTTCTCTAAAGAAAATATGCATTTTCTTCATAGGAAAAATAAACCAATTCACCAAACAAATGTATTCCCGATGGTCAAATTCAAGAAGCAGTAGAAACTAAGGACATGAGATAAAGATGTTTGCATATTAAGATCAATTGCTTCAGAGAAAAAAGCGTGAATTTCTAAAGCAAACACAAGACACCAAATCATCAAACCAATAAGGAAACATAAAGTCAAAGGTGAGAGTAACCTGCTACCTGACATATGACACTACAACCAAAGTGAAAGGACAATCTCACTTTCACTGTCACTTTAAAGTTTCAGCAATCCATAAATCATTTCTAGATATATTTCATAATGGCCGCTTAAGTAGTCACTCTTCATTGGAATACTGATCATGAAAACAACATGTTTCAAGGGAGAGAAACATGAAAACAGAGAAAATCAAGATGGGGTGTTAGCCAGACTCAATTTTATCAAGCTTTAAAACCATGACACTTGATAAAGCACTTATTATGCTAATAGCGTATAAAAGCATAATGTAGTCAAGTACACTCACATAAGGGAAAAACAAATTCATGTCAAAGCCAAACAAAAAGACTAAAGATGCAATACAACTTCATGGTAAAGGATGAACATACAAAATTGCATAAAAAGAGTTACCCTATATTCTAATGTGCATGACAACTTTCAAATGCATATAGTAGACATTCAACATTTTCTTATTTATTATTAATTAACAGAATAAAACACAAACAAACTCATAGCACAAACAATGGTGTGCGTGTTACAGACCAACAGACAGACAGGGGTATAGAGAGAGAGAGAGAGACAGAGAGAGATTACGTATAGATTGCAACAAATATTTCTGGTACGATTCCAACCAAGGATCCCATTATATAAGGTGCATACTTGACATTTGTTGCCACAGCACAGTAATTGTAGAGTATGTAAGGGAATGGAGAAACCCTGATCAAAGCAACTGCTCTAAATTGATGAAACCAATTTCCTCCACCTGCAGATCTTAGAAAAGAAGCTTTCTTTGGGTACTTTTCTAACCACCCCTGCATAGAATCATGAAACGTCTGATCCTACTGAGCACAAGTGAGGCAAACACATGTAGATAGTGTTTTAGAAATTAAGAATGACAAATAAAAACACGGCACATACTTGAATTTTATGATGGAAGACTGAGCCAATGAAAAAAGGGAGTGAAACACCGATAGATGCTGCAGATATTATTAGCAAGAACCCAAAACCATAACCAAATTTCATTCCAGCCATCCACATAGAAGGTGAAGATGGTAAAAGCAGCGTTGGGAATAATGCTACAGAAACAAATATCAGAACAATTAACACCGGACTGCTGAATGCGTTTCTCTCCCAGTTAATTAATGGTATAATCACCTGAAACAAAGATCACCTGTTACTTATCAGGTTGCACGTTCAAAGTTCAAATTTACAACTAAGGCCCAACAAAAATGGCACAAAACACAATAAGGTGTCCCAGTAGTACAATTGTTTGCCGCAAATAATCATAGCTGAAATTTCACCTCGATTCTACACATTTCATGTCAAGATCTCTCTCTCTCTCTCTCTCTGTTTTTTTTTTTTTTTGGGGCCATTAGGCCAAGAAAAGATAAGATGAATGAGTTAGCAACATCAAAACGAAAATCTTCCATGGTGAAGAAGAATCGTAAACACCATTGCTAATTAGGTCCAAACTACCCAGCCGCATCAAAACCTTTGAGAATAAAGCAAGCCCCTAAATATGTAAATTCAAGGATAGCCCAAGGAAGGGAGATAATAAAACTCGACGATGAGCAAGCGCGTGAAAAACAAACCTTATCCATGAAAAAGGGTCCGACCCATATGATAACAACAGCAGCCAAGAAGCCTAAGAATGCGAGGAACAGCACCAATTTAACCCAATACCATACAGAACATCTCGCCGCATCACTCAGCGAGCCCTCTGGCTCAGAATCTTGCGGGTCGGGCCCCAATTTGACATATCCCCCGTTGTTATCATCATTCTGGATTCGGAGTGTGAGGTGCGGGACGAGCTCTCCTCCGCCACCGTCATCCTCATTATAAGTCATCGGAAAAAAGCAAAGCCCTAAATGACCGGTGGAAGGAAAATTGGAACCCTCCTTGCAATCACCGGTGGAAAAAGCACTTCTTCAGTCAAAGGGTCATGAACGAAGGAACGGTAATGTGAATGAAAACCAGAACGGTGGAAAACCCGGAGCAAGGAGGAGGGATTCGGAGAGAAAGAAGATGGCAGATGCACAACACATCCACAACATCCAAAAGCAACGATTCTCATAATGAAGGAATGATTTGGTTCAAAACGGTGCCGTCCAACAAGGTGAGAGACACGTGGCATTATGGGAGAACCTCAAAGTCAGTGAGTTCTGACTCAGCATGGATTGTATGGATACGATGCAATTTGTCGGTTGTCCCATTGGCTTGTCTAGCTCCACCGTTAAGATTTAAATAAATCATAATCTCGTACTAGTTTTTCTTTAGGAAAATGACACTAAAATACCACTTGAATTCCAAAAAGACACATAAGGGACCTGAATAAGCAAAATGACAAAGAAGGCATCAGGTACCAATCTAGAATTTTGATTTTTGGCCTAAAGACTGAATTGCCCTTATTGTGTTTGCCTCCTCCCAGCGAAAGCAATTCCCCCCACTCGGCGAAAGAGAAACTGCCCCCACTTGGCGAAACCAATCCATCTACTCGGTGAAACTAATCCCTCCCCTCAGTGAAACCGAATCCCTCTACTCGATAAAACCAATCCCTCCACTCCACGAAACCGAACCCCCTCCAGTTGACGAAACTAAATCCTTCACACCACCATTCTGTAGAGATTGTTGATTTGGTGGGTTTTGGTTGTGGGAAAGAGGATTTAGTGAGAGAGGGAGTGAACCGAAGCGGAAAGATGAAGCGGAAATCAGAAAACTAGCAAGCAATTACGTAACGTAACTGCTGTCATATGCCTGCTGGTTTTTGGTAAATCCCATTACGTGAATGGTAAATTTCACTATACATATAGTTAATTATGAATTTTACAAAATACATATTGTGATTTACAACTTTTGTAGTGAAAGTGACTACTTTGTTAATGGGTTTTGCAATATGTTTTCAGGAGATAAACAACTTGTTTGTAAAAACTAATAAAAGTGACAACTTTTGTAGTCGCCTTGAATTAACTGGTTGCAAAAACTATTTAAGAAGTGGTCATTTTCACTATAAAAGTTGTAAATATCACTGTGTGTTTTGTAAAATTCAGCGTCAAATTTTATTGATTTTTAGAAACAAGTTGCTCATCCCCTGAAAAGAGGTTGCAAAAGCCATTTAAGAAGTGGTCATTTTCACTATAAAAGTTGTAAATATCACTGTGTGTTTTGTAAAATTCAGCGTCAAATTTTATTGATTTTTAGAAACAACTTGCTCATCCCCTGAAAAGAGGTTGCAAAACTCATTTAAGAAGTGGTAATTTTCACTACAAAAGTTGTAAATATCACTATGTGTTTTGTAAAATTCAGCATGGAATTTTATTGATTTTTAGAAACAAGTTGCTCATCCCCTGAAAAGAGGTTGCAAAACTCATTTAAGAAGTGGTCATTTTCACTATAAAAGTTGTAAATATCACTGTGTGTCAAATTTTATTGATTTTTAGAAACAAGTTGCTCATCCCCTGAAAAGAGGATGCAAAACTCATTTAAGAAGTGGTAATTTTCACTACAAAAGTTGTAAATATCACTGTGTGTTTTGTAAAATTCAGCATGGAATTTTATTGGTTTTTAGAAACAAGTTGCTCATCCCCTGAAAAGAGGTTGCAAAACTCATTTAAGAAGTGGTCATTTTCACTATAAAGTTGTAAATATCACTGTGTGTTTTGTAAAATTCAGCGTCAAATTTTATTGATTTTTAGAAACAAGTTGCTCATCCCCTGAAAAGAGATTGCAAAACTCATTTAAGAAGTGGTAATTTTCACTACAAAAGTTGTAAATATCACTATGTGTTTTGTCAAATTTAGTAGGAAATTTTATTAGTTTTTAGAAACAAGCTGCCCATCCCCTGAAAACAAGTTACAAAACCCATTGAATAAGTGGTCGTTTTTACTACGGAAGTTGTAAATCCCACTATACGTTTTGTCAAATTTAGCGTGAAATTTTATTAGTTTTTACAAACAAGTTGTTTATCTCCTGAAAACAGGTTGCAAAACCCATTAACAAAGTAGTCACTTTCACTACAAAAGTTGTAAATCACAATATGTATTTTGTAAAATTCATAATTAACTACATGTATAGTGAAATTTACCATTCACGTAATGGGATTTACCAAAAACCAGCAGGCATATGACAGCAGTTACGTTACGTAATTGCTTGCCAGTTTTTTGATTTCCGCTTCATCTTTCCACTTCGGTTCACTCTCTCTCTCACTACAAATCCTCTTTCCCACAACCAAAACCCACCAAATCAACAATCTCTACAGAATGGTGATGCGAAGGAATAAGATAATAGCATTTCCAATATTCTTCTTTCCTTCTTCCCGCATTTCATCAGCGTCGGTCTTCCTCTCTCCTTTCTCTCACTGCGTCGGTCTTCCTCTCTCCTTTCTCTCACTTTCAGTTTTCGGTCTTCCCGCATTCATCAGGGCATTTTGGTCTTTTGGCTGAAAATATGAATTCCAGATTGGTACCCAGTGCCTTATTTGTCATTTTGCTTATTCAGGTCCCTTATCTGTCTTTTTAGAATTCAAGTGGTATTTTATTGTCATTTTCCCTTTTTCTTTTCAAAAAAATGCTAAAAAAATTAGGATAGTAAATTATTAGAGTTAATATAATTTTTTATCCTTTAAATTTGAGCTCATTTTGGATTTAGTCCCTGGAATTTTAAACATGTAGTTTTAGTTCCTGAAATTTGTTTCGTTACAAACCATTAGTCTCTGATAATAAAATGCTGTTGAAGTTTTGCTAAGTTGGCATAAATGATGTTAGTTTGATGACGTGGTCTTTGACTTAACAATTTAAGTCGATTAAGTGGCATAATGACTCAAGGGATGGCATGGACATTTAGTTAAAGAAAAAAAAATGTTAAAATATACATTTAGTCATTTAACTCTATATAAGGTTTTAATTTGGTCCCTTAACTTTAAAAAGTATACTTTTAGTTTTTTAACCCTAATTTTTTTTAAAAAATGATGACATTAAGATCTTAAATGTTGATAAAATATTCTCAAATGTTAACATATTAAGTTTAATTTTCAAAACATCCATGATTGTTATAAAAAATCATCATTGAAACCTAATGATTTTAGAGTTAAAGGACTAAATATATGCTTTTTAAAGTTAAAAGGCCAAATTAAAACTATATAGAAAGTTAAAAAACTAAATATATACTTTAGCCGGAAAAAAATAGAAAAGAAAATAGAGGAGCACAAAAGAATTGTGCGCCATCGATCAAGGCATAAAATAAAGAACAAAGTTGAAGCTTCAATGGCCAGAGGGGAGGAGATTCAGTGAAAGCATAGCAACGTTGGCAAAGGAGAGAAGCAGTGGCGAAGGGAAGAGGAGCTCCAGCAAAGGCAGAGAAGGCTCGTCGAAGTCACTTCTTGTTCAATCCATTCTTCTACCCATCTTCAACCTTGAATTTATCTTAGGCTCTGGTGTTCTTCAATGGCCTCTTGTAGCAACTCCAGACCCAAAAGATGTTCGAATAGCTTTTTAGTGCCTTCTATTATGGAGTTGTTTCTTGGCTTCCGAGAATTAATGCAGGACCACTTGCTTCACCTTTCCAATATCTTCTCCACATCCATATTCCGTGTGACCCTTCCTTCCATCTTCATCCTTGGCATGTTTCCCAGCATCGTCGTCATCATTATTGCCACCGCTCCCTTGGCAACCATGCCAGTCTCTATCACCAACATTCAGGGTGTGCTCACCAAAAGCAAACATTAAATTTTATTGATACCAAAAGGGCGTGGGGTTCAATTTCATAGAAAGTAGAACCGAATGGACGGTGAAAGAAAACCGAGATGCAGGTTTTAAAACAAACTCTCTCTATATTATTTTTCCTTTTCCTAATTACATATCTAGCTTATTATGCCACTTAATCAGTTCAAGTTGCTATGTCAAAGGCAACCTTATCAAACTAACACCATTTATACCAGTTCAGCAAAACTTAATAACATTTTAGTACTAAGGACTAACGTTTTGTAATGGTGTAAATTTCAGGGACCAAAACCATAGGTCTGAAATTTCAGAAACCAAAACTAAAATAACTCAAATTTGAGAGACTAAAAATTATATTAATCCAAATTATTACTATGAAATTTGATGTTATCTCCAATATTATTTTATTTTATTTTATTGTGCTTCCCATACGACACCAGCGTATGGTGTACTTTCCAAATAAGGCTAGGCTGCATTTTTATACTTTTGACTTTGAGCTAATGTCTATTTGCCCTTTTCTATTATTTCAATTGATTCCAACGTAAACATCCTTTTTTTTTTTTTGGATAAAGCATTTTTATATTATTTTAAGTTGCATTCCCCACACCTTAATCTTATTTATGATGCATGTAACAACTTAATGTTATTTTTTGTGCACTTTCATCACTCTAATTTCATTTAGTGCATCTAGCATAAATAAAATTAGAGTACAATATTTTGGCCACCCTTCTATTTTGTCTTAGTTATACAGACTTTTTTTATATAGTGAAAATATACATTTTAGTCCAAACCATTACACAGACCTTTTTTTTTTTTTCCTTTTCAGCCAAAACTTTTTTTATTAATTAATTTTCTTGCTAGGTGTTTGAAAATGAGCTAAACTTTATTGGAGGAGTTTGACTTTTTTATAAGATAGTATTTACTTTCGTCTAAACATTTAATAAGTTTTTTTTCCAATTTAACCCAATAGATTCTCTCTTCTTTTTGATTTATTTATTGCATCTATTACTTATTCTCTTTATTGATAAAGGCATATTTGGAAAAAATACATGCCATATATATTTATTATTTTAAATTAATTTTAACTAATTTTTTGATAAATATAAATAAATAAAATTTATTTTATATTTTGAACTGGGTGGAGTAATTTTGAGTGAGGGCCACACGTACCGTGGAATAATGACAACCCTGATAAGCTGTTTACGAGGTTTGTTTTCCTCTGCCACAAGTTATAAACAACATACTACTTGTGTGTTTTCTCTTTCTGGTCGCATCTCCAGCTAATTCGAATTTTGACACCTCAACCTTTGGCCCTCAGGCC